TCGTGCACACCAGGACGCGGCCCCCGAGGACGTCGCCGCACTACGAGGTCTACCGCCTCAACTGCGCCGAGCCGGAGGAGGCCAACAAAGCCCTCATGGCGCTCAGGGACAAGATGGAGGCCAGGGAACGACGCTACCCGCAGAACCTCATGAGGAACCTCGCCCGAAGGACGTGCCCCTGTGACTACACCCTCAGCGTCGATATCGATATGCTCACGCCTCCCTACATGGCCGAGAACATGACAGGATTCCTGGACAGCGTGAAGGCCACCGCCCCATGCTGGAAGTGTGCCTATGTTATTCCTGTCTACGAGCTGCAGGATTCGGTCGCTTACTTGCCCAATGACAAGATGGATCTGCTCAGACTGATCCTGAAAAAGCAAGCTCGGAGATATCACGAAAAGGTAAATAATGTGTTTTTTTTTTCGTTTACATGTGTTGTGGTCACTTTTTTCGAGTTTCAGTAAGTTTAATGTTAGACAATGGGATGATTATCTGCTAATTAAGGTCAAAACGGATGAAGGAAAATAGGACTATGGTTACTGAAAATAGTTACATTGTTATTATCATCCAGCGATCTTCAAATTCTTTTCATGGGTACTACTGTTTTCCGTCTCCCGTTCTTTCCTTTTTTCTATCGTTTTTATGAAGTAACAGATAAATTCCTTTCCAGAATCATATCTCTCTGTTATTTTTTATGTTGGTATGGAAAGAAACACTTTTTTCGGTAAAAAATGAAGGAAACAGACTCGCGCCACTACTACTTCAGGGTTCAAATTGCCAAATAGATTTTGTACTTGTGTTTACGACGCTATTGGAATGTTTCATGTGACTCTTGCTTTATTTGCCAAAGAGCTTTTTCTTTCTTTTTCTTTCCTTCTCTTAAAGTCATTCTATCCCTCCTGGTATAGTAAGAGAAATTTAATTCGGCGACTCCTAATTGTTGTTTGTCAAATAACTCGATGTTTTCTTTCTTTTTATTGCATTATCACTTTATCCATCTAGGCTTTCTCATTTTGTTCATATTGTCTAGAAAGAAAATAGTTTATTTTTCTTCCAATACAATTCAGTTCCTCACTGTCGTTGTTTACGAAAGAACTCCAGTTTTCCCTTTCTTAATGAGTCTGTCTCGAACTTTTTGCCATTTTTCTCTCCATTCCCGTCATTCCTTCCCTCAGAACTTTTTTCCATTTCCCTTTTCCTTCCCAAAAATTCCCTCCCTCTTATCTTTTTCCCATTCCCTTTTTCATTCCAAAGCCATTCCTTCCTTCAGGACTTTTTCCATACCTTTTTTTTCAAAATCATTCCCTCCCTCAATACTTTTTTTCTAATTCTCCTTTTACATTCCTTCCTCTTTTCCAAAATCTTTCCCTTCCCTCAGAACTTTTTTTTCATTCTCTCTTTCATTCCAAAATCTTTCCCTTCCCTCAGAACTTTTTCCATTCTCCTTTTCATTTCCAAGCTATTCCGTCCCTCACATCTTTTTCCTATTCCATTTTTATTCCAAATTCCTTCCTTCCCTCAGAACTTCTTTTCCATTTCCTTTTTCACTCCAAAATCACACTCTTCCTCAGATCTTTATTTTCCTCGTCCCCCTTTCATTCCAAAACATTCCCTTCCCCCAGGTATACGCCAAGAACCAAGGCAACTCCAAGCTGGAGAACTGGGAGGTCGAGCCCCTCAACGCAAGCGCCACGGAATACCGCGTCCTGTACAACATCACGACGTACGAGGAGTTCTGGGAGCCGATCCTGGTGCTGCCCTTCACGGCTCCTCTCTTCGATGAGCGCTTCGTCGGATACGGGTTCACGCGGAGCAGTCAGGTTGGTGGAGGAAGGTGGGGGCTGGCGAGGGCGGACGGGGGAAGGTGAAGGAGGTGGGGGCTGGTGAGGGCGTGGGGTGGGGTGGGGGAGGTGAGGCAGGCGGGATATTTTAAATAGCGCTCTTAAATATTCAAGCATGTCCATTATTTCTTATAGAAGAAAACATCTTATGGATGTTTACGCAAGACCAAGATGATAGGGAGTTTACATTCACATGTTACACTTTCACTTGATAGATATTTGTAATGTGATCTACTGACAGGACGAACATAAATGTGCAAGTTGGTGGAGCTTATTGTTAAAACTTCGATATGCATGTTTTCACAAATAGTTAAATTGATAAATGAATGCGCGCGCGCGCACACACACACACACACACACACACACACACACACACACACACACACGCACGCACGCACGCACGCACGCACGCACGCACGCACACACACACACACACACACACACACACACACACACACACACACACACACATATATATATATTATATATACATATATATATATATATATATATATATATATATATATATATATATATAGTATATATGTGTGTGTGTGTGTGTGTAGGTGTGTGTGTGTGTGTGTGTGTGTGTGTGTGTGTGTGTGTGTGTGTGTGTGTGTGTGTGTGTGTGTGTGTGTGTGTGTGTGTGTGTGTGTGTCATACATACATATATGTACGTGTATATATATGTATATATGCACACACACAATGATTTCACTTTTGTCTTATTCCTTATTTTCTTATTTATTATAGCTCATTTTATTTCCTCTCCCCCACACACAGGTATATGAGCTACATCGCCGTGGTTACAAGTTCCAGGTATTGGACAGGGCGTTCCTCACACACAAGGGCTTCCAGACAACCACGAATTACTCTACTCTACGATATGCACAGATAGAGGTGGGTGACGGTTGAGTGTTAGTTCCTTCTGTTTGTAGATCCAGGTCATGTTTTGGGTATTTTAGGTATATTATCGTTCTTCTTTCGTATAAGTTCGGGTCAGAGTGGCTATATTTGTTTTCTATTCGTGTTTCTGTCAATAAATCCGGTTTATGTTAGATATGTTAGTTTTTTTCTTTTTATCCTGTTAGTGTCCTGTTTATATATTGGATATATCAGATATTCTACATTTTTCTATTACTCTAGATAAATCCGGTTCATAGTTTAGATATTTCAGTTTATCTATTCGTCTTTCTGTTAATAAATTCGGATTATATGTCAGCCATCCGTTTCTATATTTGTTCCTCTTACAATAAATCAGTTTCATATTTCAGGCATTTCAGTGTTTTTACTCTCTATCAATAAATCTGCTTCGTATTTTACATATTGTCATTATTCCATTAGTCCCTCCCAATGAATTTGGATCATATTTCAGATATTCCAATGTATCTATTCGTCCTTCTTTCAAGAAATCCCATCTACATTAATATATTTCAGTGTATCAATCCGTCCCACCCATAGTTCAGATACCACTATGCATTCATTCATCATTTTTTCTTCTTTGCTTAGAATTCTCGACAACAAAACGTACTTGTACTTTCACAGATAAACAAGGTACGGTACCAGATGTTTAAGAGGGAACTCCACGCACAGCTCGGCTTGCAGATGCCCACGCAGAGCAAAGGGGCGCCCTTGAGACAGAAGTTGACGTCCCTGCTGGCCAAGCGTTCCCAGTCCCCCCGGAGTCGTCTGGCGATAAAGACGGTGCCGGCGAAGAAGCAGCTAGTTGGCGTCGGCAAGTGAGGAGGTGGTTGTTTAACAGTGTCCGGAGCTGGTGTTTTGGCCGGAGACGAGCGTCAGTATACCCGGCTGTGAAGTGAAAGTGAACGTGGGAGAAAAACACTTTTTTTGAAGGTGATGAAAATAAATTAATTGTTATATAAAAAATAATAATATATTTGCAGACTTAGCAACCATAGATATCGCGGTGGATATTCGGGGCGTAAACAATTTCATCAAAGTTTACAAAATGCAAGATTGACATTTGCATTTTTAGTGCACCAGCGATAAAAAAAATCACAGGAACGAAAAAAATATTCAGTGTCATAAGACGCTTTAAAACACCCTATGAATAAAAAACAGGAAAAAGATATTAGGAAAAACAGATGTACACCATATCATTTTGCTAAATCGGGAAGGCTTCAATAAATTTTTATATTATAAATATTTTTCTTTATCCTGTGTTTACTGAGTACGGTAACCACTGCCAAAGGAGACGAAAAGTCACCGAAGTAAACATGATTCCTGTACTTGTGTATACATGCATGCACAGACACACGCACATAAACACATACACACGCATACACGTATGTGCGTAATTCTGTACGTGGATTTGATTGGACGTTTTGTATAAATATCCAAACAGGTGTTTTTCACATTTTTGTAGAATTATTATCTAAATTAGGGCATGTATGCACATATACGTATTTATGTTTGCGTGTGTGTGCTTGTTTGTTTGTATACACATACGCATTTATGTTTGCGTGTGTGTATTTGTTTGTGTATGTATATGTTTGTGTGTGTATGTATGTTTGTATGCAACCATGTATGTATATGTACATGTATTTGTATATATACAAAATCGCAGATGTTAGTGTACGATAGCACAAGTGTTTCCTACCAGCCGACGTTCTGTCTCTCCCGCGCTTACCAGTATTCGTCACACAGCCGCTGTGAGAACATCTGTGATCTCAATGAGGGCAAGTGCTGGAAATCTTTGAAAACATTATTTTCCGTTTTCTCTGTTGATACGAAAGAAATTCTACAAGTGTTGCTCTCCCGTTGCGATGTCTGGTGTTGACGTGGAGAGACGTATTTTGTGGGGGGTCGTCGTTTTTTGTGTGTGTGTGTGTGTGAATGTGTATATAAGCATACATACATACATATACATATATATCCATATATAAACATAAATATATTCTCTCTCTCTCTCTCTCTCTCTCTCTCTCTCTCTCTATATATATATAATATATATATATATATATATATATATATATAATATATATACATATATATATATATAATATATATATATATATATATATATATATATATATATATCTTTCTTATTGCCTTTTCCTGCTTCTATGCGGGGTCGGTATTTTTACGAACCTCCTCCACTTAGTCCGATCCCTTTTCTTTTAAATTGCTCGTTATATTTTCCATCTTCTTTTTTTGGCCTCCGTTTACCCCTTCCATTCTTCCATCCATCTCCAATTCTCAGTGGACAGAATACTAATTCTTTCGTTCCTAAACTTATTTAGTCTCGTTACTCCACACATCCACCTCAGCATCTTCATCTCCTCAACCTTAAACTTTCTTTCTTGTGACTTTCTCGTTGGCCAAGTCTCTGCACCACAAATCACAGCCGACCTAACACTTGTTTTGCCTCTAACCCTTGCGCTTATCCTTTGTCACACGAAACATCATACATTTTTCTTCAATTCATCCAACTTGCCTACACTCTATGTGTAACTTCCGAATCCATCCCTGCATCCTCGGATACCACTGATCCAAGGTACTAGAAGTTTTCAACTCTTCAGTACTTCGCCCTGCATTCTCATTTCTCCTTCTTCCTCACAGAAATCCAGATATTCTGTCTTTTTGCTGATTTTTAAGCCTATATCCTCTGAAGTCCTTTTTCGTTTATCTAATTTATGCTCGACCTCCTCTTTACTGGTACTGGCGATAAAAATGTTCTTTAACACCTTCCGCCAATACATCCATAATGAGGCCGAGCAGATAAGGACCTAAAGAGGACCCCTGATGTAGGCCAATGCTAACTGAGAACCACCCTGTTGTGACAACACTGGTTCTTGCTCCTTCATACATGTCCTGGATGATCCGAACATATTTTTTTCTGGCCCTCCCTTCCTTCTCATGCATCTCCAGAGCTCCTACCACGGCACTCTATCATAGGCCTTCTCTAGATCTATAAAATAAAACATGCGCAGTCCTTGCCTCATTTCCCTATGCCTTTCCATCAATTGCCTGAGCGCAAACAGTGCATCCATGGTTCCTTTTTCTGGCACAAACCCAAACTGCTCATCACCTTTGACGGTTTTCTTACCCTACTTTCATATTTGCATGATATGAGACATTAATTTGACCCCCCTGTAATTGCTACAATTCTGGTTATTTCCTTTCTCTTTATAGTTAAGTATTATGACACTAACCCTCCACTCATTGGGGATCTTTTCCTCCTCATAGATCTTCGTCATTAAATCCCATATCAATTCATTCATCTTCTAAACACTTCCAAACTTTTGCAGGTATGTTATCCAATCCTGTCGCTTTACCATTTCTCATCTTCCTTAATGCATCTTTAACTTCCTGCCTACTTATATCACGTCACTCCAAAGTTTGGAGCTCGTCAAAAAATGCTCTAGAATTTTCTTCGTGCAACAAGGAATCAAAGTAGCTTTTCCATCTGCCCCTGATCTTTCCTTATTCATTTAGCACCATTCCCTCTCCATCTTTAATCTGTCTAATATGGGTGTAGACTTTGGTTGCTTTATCCCGGGCCTTTGCTATCCTAAATACTTTTTTCTCCCCCTTTTCCTGATTTTAGGCTCTACTTTCCGCATTTTCCATGTTTTAATCCTCTCGTACTCCCAGTCCATCACAACAACCTTATGTTGTGATGCTGTACTCTCCCCGTGAATTACTTTACAATTCGTGATATATCTTAGGTGTTGCCGTCTACACAGGATAGTCAATTTGGCTTTCCCTATCCCCACATTTATAGATCATATACTGTCGTTCCTTCTTCTGGAAGTAACTGTTACAGATTGCTAAATCGAAGGACAAGGCAAAATCTACTATCCTTTCTCATCCCTCATTCCTCTCTCCTACACCCAATCCCCCATGTATCCTCTCCAGCTAATCTCTATTGATGCCTATATGTCCATTTAGGTCACCTCCAATGATCACTCTCTTTTGCCTCCACCTCCTCCAATTCTGGCCTTAAATCCCTCCAGAAACATTCCTTCTCCTCTTCCTCCTGAGGAGCATATGCACGATGTTAACTGTCTCTTCGAGGTATAATTTTATTCGCATTATTCTGTCACTTCTACTTACATTGATCACATTTTCCTTCATTCCAACCAAGAATATAATCCCTACCCCATTTCTGCTCTGCTCATTTCATTCACTATAGAGCAACTTAAAACTTCCTCCTAGTTCCCTTGCTTTATTCCCTTTCTATCTTGTTTCCTGCACACACAGCACTGTCATGTTTCTTCCAATTAAATCTACTACCTCCCTGCCTTTCCTGGCCATTTCTCTCTCCCTCTCTCTCTCCCTACCACCGGCACCGTCACCACCACCTCCACCCACCACCGCCACCACCACAGCACTATCACCACCTCCACCACCACCTCCATTGAGTGTTCCCACTCTTACCTCACCTTTGGTTTTGGAGATGGCGTCTTTGGTCCAGCCTGCTCCAGACTCGGTCGCCCTCGCATGTATATATGTATGTGCGTGTGTACATTATATATATATATATATGTATATATATATATATATATATATATATATATATATAATATACATATATATGTATGTATGTATGTATGTATATATATATATATATATATATATATATTATATATATATATATGTGTGTGTGTGTGTGTGTGTGTGTGTGTGTGTG